GAAGAGAAAACTAGAGGTGCACGTAAAAATCTGTTCATATATGAATCGCAATTCTGTCTTCTAACGATTCTAATGGATTCACAAGATTCAAAATCAATGTTCTAAAGCAGCAGTTCTTAATACTGTTCCTCACTTCCCCCTGCTCTGCATCTTTCTATCTCTCTCTCATTCAGCTCAGCTCCAAAAATGAACTGTTACAATTATACACTTATTTTCACATAGCTATGAGAAGCGTTAAACATGGACGCGCGTGCAGTTGCCGTACTGTATTAAAGCTTTAATCAGGATAAAACTGTATATTAAAAGCTAGCATAAGCAGTAGCATTTACAAATAACAGCGTACCTAAAAGTATGAGACAACAACAAACAAAAAACATAGGCCTACAATTAAAAGCCGTGCTTGCACAGGTTCTGCACGATCCTCTTCAATAATATCCTCTGCTTCTCCATCGAGCTCAAATTGATAAGCGATATTAACGACGCCTTTGTTTACAATACAACCGGAGCACATGCTGCTGAGGTGAGGGGCTGGACGTTAAGAAACGCACTAGAGACAGATCAGCCAATCACAACACACTGGGCTAGCTAACCAATCAGAGCCCATCGCCTATTTCTGAGAGAAGGGGGCTTCATAAAAGAAGGAAATTGATCAGTGCGTTTCTCAGAGAAGGGACAGAGCTGTGTGGAATAAAGATAAATTATGTGAAAAATAATTAGCATTAACATGTTAGACTGCACCCCAAAAACACAATCAAGCCTAGAAAAATCCCAGTGAACCACCCCTTTAAGACCGACTGCTTGGATCCAATATACTGATACACAATGGTTTTCTTTCTCAACTGCTTACATTCACTTAAGACAAAACCGACAAGCCTAGAAAACAACCACTGAACCACCCCTTTAAATACATCAGCAATACCCCCTTGTGTTTTTTTAAGCTTTACTTGTACTAGGCAGTTGCTAACGAGTTACCTGTTGTTTTTAAATCACACTCTTAATTCTAACTCAATCTTTCAAGGAAAAGTTTTTAAATAAAGCCTAAAAGTTGTCAAAGCTTTGTGGTGAAGATGAAGTCATGTGACTTTTATAGCCTACGCTTAGCTTTTTACTTCAGCCGACTGCTACAAAATTCTAACGTTTTTAATTTGTGAATATTATCCATGATGAACAAAACATGTGAGAACTTTTGTTGGTCACATAGCTTATTTTCTGCAATAATCCAAAAGCCAATGGAAAAATCCTATCGAGTTCTTGTCAAGGGAACCAGGGTAATGCAAACATTGAGGTTGGCCTACAAAATTTGTCATCACTGCAGAGCTCTATGCTACCTAGAAATTGGCCAAAATTAGGTACTTAAAGAGAGCCTTAAAGTTGGTATTACACGATGCCTTAAAATGTTGCCCAGTTAGGAAGCTCACTAGGTTTTGGAACAAAGATTGACTAAATCAGACCAGAAAGCAGCACCTATTTACAGACTGGACTGAAATCAAACAATTCAGATGTAATACCATGATATTCTTGCATAAATAAAGAAATAAATCCAATAAAAACTATACACACCTGTCATTAATAACTACTGTGTTATAGTAGAGATTGACAGACACAAACATTCTTAACAGTGCCCACGCCTCTGAATGCAAACAGATACGGTTCACTGTCAGGTCACAGTACAGCAGTTTAAAAGACATGTTATCAGCGTTCCGGTTTATGCAATGCAATATATACACCTTGACTGTCACTAATTCTCCACAGTAAGGGGAGACGGCGAGCTTGAAGCACAGTCTGCCGCATGGCTATAACTAACACCATCACAAAGCTGACCTCTGGTAAGGACTGGGTGTGGAGACCGTTCCACTGCACTCCAGAACAACATGATTCATTCTCTGTGCTATCATTACTGCAAGAGAGAGCAAAACAGAGAGCGGAGGGAGAACGAGAAAAGCTGAGAGAGAGAAGAGAGAATATGAAGACATGACCTCCCCATTTAAGTTGATATTCAGGTAATGGAGGAGAAAGGTAAGAGGAGAGGAGACAGGAGAGGGGGAATATCAGAGAAAGTGAAGGAGAGAGAGAGAGAGATAAGACAATGAAAGGAAACCGAATCATGCATGTCGGTCAGGTTTCGGAGGTTACCGGACCTTGATGGGGGCCAGTGGAGGTTAACCGTGGCCCTCATTCACTCCACACAGATACACGTCCTGATAAGTCCCTCAACAACGCACCAACACATATAGGCTGAATCCCAATTCTCATACTTGTGCAAACTGATAAATAATATAATTCAAAATGTCAAGGTCAGCAAGAATTGTTTTCTGTTTTAAATAAACTAATATTTTTATTCAGCAAGGACCAAAAGTTACAGTAAAATACATTTGTAATGTTACTAATGATTTTTATTTCAAATAAATGCGGCTGAACCTGGATAAAAAATGTTTTTCAACACTGACAACAATAAGAAATGTTTCTTGAGCAGCAAAATAGCATATTAGAATGATTTCTGAAGAATCAAGTGACACTGAAGACTGGAGTAATGATGCTGAAAATTCAGCTTTGTCATCACAGGAATAAATTACATTTTAAAATATACTAAAATAAACAGACATGCTGAGATCAAAGTAGTTGTCATAAATATTCCTACAACGTAATGACAACAAACGAGTTACACAAAACCCAAAATTAAACAAAAACAAATATTTTACATAATATTCACAAGCAAGCAAATAGATGCAGTAATCCAAAAAGGGCCAGATATTATACCTATGCATGCGCAATACAGTATATAAGTAATACTATGCGAATTGGGATTGAGCCTTATGATTCAGTGCACACTTACACAGTTCTTTTATAATCATGACTTTCTATGTGTGTTTTAAATGGGCTATTGGAGATCTAAACACGACAATTATGCAACCAAACTTGACCCAATTCTCCAGTTCTCAGCGTGGCTTAACTTGCGCTATTTGCTAGTTTTCTTTTATTAAAGGAATGAATCAGCAGTTGGGAGGGAAGGGGGAAGAAACAGAATCATTCTAACAGCAGTATTAAACTGGCTAATCATCCCAGTGTGAGGTAAACAAATGTTTTTGCATAAACAAACTGCATATAAACAAAACAAAACAAAACAAAAGCAAGTTAAGCAATCAACAAAGGGAAGTTTTACTCACAATTGTATCTTTAAAAAAAGAGTTTACTCAAAGTTTACTGATTCAAGTTGTTTTAAACCCGGATGATGCAGGAGAAATTTTGAAGATTGTGCTAGTCGCTTTTCAAGCAATTAAACTTAAATGGAGACTGAACCATAAATGTGGTCTACACATTAATTTTGGACACAAAGCTATCATTGAGAATGTAGCACAAACTTTGCATCAACCACTTTTATAGAGTTTTATTTTAGTTGTTACAGATTGAAAGCCTTAGTTCCCCTTCATTGTCACTGAATGGAAATGAGCAACCAGCACATTCTTCAAAATTTCACCCGCTGCATTCCACAGAAGTCAGTCAAAAGGATGAGTAAATAATGAAAAATGTTCTTAAAAGCAGTGGTCAAACTACTAAAACAGTGTTAAGTACTACAATTTCTTCAATTACATGTCAGATGACATGCAAGGCCAACAAATGCTGTTTGTCTTTGTTCTTTTTCCATTCACTTTCAACCTTGAGAAAACTCCCTGATCAAAATGAGCTGCTATCCGTCAAGAGGCTTTCCCGCCAAGCTTTAGACTCTCACAGAGAGTAAAATAAAACTCACAATCGCACACACAAGGATGAGAGGCTGCCTGTCACCCCCTTATACAGGATTCACCAGCACCCGCTCAGTCCAAATCAGTGCAAATATGGGACAGCCACTGTCTGTAAACACTCTCCCTTCCAGCTATTGTATGTGTGATGTATATTTAGCCTGGACAGGGAGGTTAATGAGTGTTATATTGTGAACTTGCTGAATTTCCACACTGAAGCACATACATTGACAAGGAGCAGGAACCAAAAGAGAGGGAGAAAGAAAAATTAGGTAATTTTTGGTTCCCAGCCAAGGATTACGAAGTCATGCGCCGGTATGAGCAGGTATTGGTGGCTCATCGCCCAAGCAACCCGGGAACTTTTCAAGCTAAAAGTTTTTCTGACTCGTTTGATTACATAATGAACACAGATCTGTTCAGATAGATACGTCATTATAAAAATGTAAAAATGCTCTTTAATTACATTTACATAATATATGCAGTGACAGACAGATCATTCTGTAAAAGTCAAGAAATAAAAACACTTAACGCTGAGTTTTAAAATGTTAAGTCTAATTGATTCAGCCTCATGATGTTCCAAACTCATTATTTCTACCGTGGAGAAGATATTTTGAAGAAGGTTCACACTGCTCTTTTCCATACAAGTTACAATGAGACAAAAAATATATATGTCATATTATATAATTTATTAAGTCAATGTATGGAAAAGAGCAGCGTGGACATTCTTTAAAATGTCTCCTTTTTATGTTCCATGTAAGAATTAATGGTTATGGAACGGCATGAGGGTGTATAAATTAAGTTTTTGGTTGGATGTCATCACAGAAAAAGCAAAGGCACTGGCAATCCTGAGGAAGAACGTCCACCGCTTGAAGTCATAGTTACATTCTGACCCAAACTGATCAGACAATTACAAAAGTTAAGGCTTCCAAATAAAATCTGGCACCAAATAATAACGAAAAAATAACCCCATTCTTGATCAGCAGGGAAAAATGTGATCCAGTAATCCAACATCAGGAGTGATGTATTTAGAATTCAGTCAGAACAGCCAAAGAGGTTAGCATAGCTCACCACAGTGTGGTTTAAAAGAGCATCAGATGCGGTTAGATGTGGTTATAAAGTGCACCTCTCAGACAAAACAGCAGCGGGGAAGACATCTGTCCAGCACAAGAATCCAAATCCAGACATCAGCCGTATCCCTTGGTCTGTGGCAGATGGGAAAAACGTCAAATCCGGGTGTCCAAACATCACAGACCCTGAAGTGCGTTCTGCTACTCCACAGGGAGAGTTGAGGTATCACTGCTGCTCACTGCCAACCAAACAATCTGAAAGCACCTTCTTATGCTGATCTAAAAAAAATACATTATGAGCACTTCATTTCTTTGGTCCATCTGTGAGCTCGACCCCAATAGATCCAAAGAGGGGAGCGCTATAGTACAGGTACCTTCCTGTCACTGACATTTGGATGTTTGGTAGGGTTTGGGTCCTGATCTGAGGCCTGCTCGGCTTTTCTCTTCGTGCGGACTTGATAAAGATGGTTTCTGGACTTCTGGTGTGCTGGAGAACAGGACAGGTCAAATTTTAACATCTTATTTCTTGTTGTAAGACGTTTGAGAATGCATTGGTTTGAAGAGCAGAAACTCACCTGTCCATTCTAAGTCGCCAATGATCACCTTCTCGCACAGGTCGCACATATGATGACTTCGCTTGTTGCGAGAATCCACCCCCTCTGCTCTGATTGGCTGTGCAGATGGTTGTTCTCCCTGAAATTATTTTAAAAGGAGAGGTGCTAAATATATTAACATTAAATACATAATAATGAAGTATGCAATGCAATTGACTTGTTACTTTTAAATTATTTGAAAAAAAAAAAAAAAATTCCCCTAACTCCAAGTAAGAAAATGCCACCAAAAATCACTGACAGGAAACACAACACAAGGCAACACAAACTATTTTGCAGAACCGCCATGGTTGGGTTCACAAAACAAATGATGATCAGCGGGGTGTAAAGGAGACATTATTAGCCAACTAAACAAGAAAGAAAACAAGTCAAACCTTTTGAAGGCAGTCCAGGATCTCTAGAGCAGGAGTAAGTACAGTAGTCTCCCAATTGGTCACGTCTGTCACATCCAGACCGTAAACTGGTGGCACATTGCTAGCAGGTCCTGAAGAATCGGAAGATAAATTGACAAAAGACGACTGATGAAATAGCATCTTGATTAAACCTGCAGAATAATCATGGAGCAATGTAAAGGTCCGAACACTGTGTACTCAAGCTGATGTTCTCAGACAAAATCTAATTGAGAAATGTTAATGTTAAACCTTAGGCTAATGGATAAATTACTTTCCTTAACTTCCAGCTTGAGTGCATTGGGTAAAACAATGACCATGATTTGCTGTGTAGGGGGAAAAAGCTAACATACAAGGACTTAGTTAAAAAACTATCATGGGATCCTAAAATTTGTTTTAGAAGGAGACAGAATATGTCTGGTTATGGTGTGGTGCAGTGAATCAGTATGGAGAAGCGGGGAGGGCCTGCAGCAGCCTGAACCTGCTGAATCACTGCCGCTCAATCTCAAACAGCATTCTGACACTGTCAGCAGAGACAACCACACTCTGCCTCACTCAATGCTATTGCTCCACACACAATACAGCAGACATGAACAGATAATGAGAGGCCCATACGTAAAACATATGCAGAGGAAAAAAAGTCACAGACACACACACAAAAACCACTTAAACCTCAGAAAAGATTAGGTTTATTAGGGTGTTCTGGGTCCAAGTTAAAAAAAATATCTCTTCTCATGATTGATGCATCAAATCCTCCTACTTCTCTAATTAGAAACAATGGCCACCCACATTATCCACATCAATTATAGGTTAAACTCAAAATAAGAGTAGAAAAGATATAAGAATAAAAAGCTTCCATTAGCTTTTTATTCCGTATCAGTTACAAAATATTATTACTTGCCTATAAGGCCCTTAATGGGTTAGCTCCTGCGTACCTAACTAGTCTTCTACCACGCTACAATCCATCCCGCTCCCTAAGGTCACAAAACTCTGGACTTTTGGTAGTACCTAGGATAGCAAAGTCCACTAAAGGAGGTAGAGCGTTCTCGCATTTGGCTCCCAAACTCTAGAATAGCCTTCCTGATAACGTTCGGGGTTCAGACACACTCTCTCTGTTTCATCTCATAATCTTGTACTGCAGTTATATCTGATCAAATGCACATAATTATTCTTTAGTTTGGGTTAAACAAATCAATTTTGCTTGGTTGGAACAGCAGCTACGCTAATTATGTCTCTATTTGTTTCTCTATTTTTGCCACAAGCTTCAGTCAGCAAAACCAGATGATGACACAAAGTATGACATAATCCTGAAACACAACAACAACAACATCCATAATATTAAACAAGCACAATAAAATAATTATAATGCAACAGGTATTTAGAAAACCTGAATGACAACCAAATGCATATTATGCAAAAAATCTTAGGATGTTTAAGGCATAATATATCATGAAACGCATTACAATGATGATTTAAATATACCTCAAACACCTGCTGTATCAAATGTTATAAATTATTATTATTTTTTTAATTGTTGAAAAGTAAAAGCACTAATAGGCATATTTGCTTAAAGGGGTCATATGATGTTGCTAAAAAGAACATCATTTTGTGTATTTGGTGTAATGAAATGTGTTTATGCGGTTTAAGGTTCAAAAAACACATTATTTTCCACATA